CCCGCCCATCCCTCACTTCACCGACAATCACACCACTTGGAAGTGTAACTTCCACGCCCATGGGCGCGTTTTGTCAACAGATAGACACTCGGCCAGTTGAGCACAAGAATCAACTTCCGCCCCTTTTGCTGCCCCCTCCCCCCTCCACTCTTACTCTCCACCGAGCATGTGAAGCACCCTTGTACAGAATCCTTTCAGCGTTGGGTGAATGGGATCATCCTCATTCTAGAAGGTTCACCTTGTGGGGTTAAGGCTGGGATATGCACCGAACCTTCCTGATGTTTGGCGTATGTCATAGGACAATGTTTGTGTGGGCCTAAAAGGGAACGTTAGGTAGATAATATTGGGCCGATACCAGGTGTGCATGCCCTGCTCGGTTTTTGACTGTGAATGGCTGCCTTGGTCTACATGTTCATTGAGCGGCGCCAAACATAATAGTTGTCTGCCCGTCATGACAATATGGGTGTCTTCAGGGTGTCTTTCTGTGTATATATATTTGAGATGTACTCACACTACTTGGCATCATGTTCTTTCATGTGGCCACTCTCTCGAGATATCGTGGCGCGTGAAACTTCTCCTAACTTTTTTTCCGAGCCTTTGGACAATAAGTTTCAGTGTTAACCTGATCCTGCATTGTCCCGAGCAGCCGTATGTGTTTTATCTAGACTTGGACGGATGGCAGGATTAGCGTGCAAGCTATAACCGGCAACCGCCTTTTCTGTCATGTACTGATCTCTTAGTGTTAGCTTTACTGACTGGCGAATGTATCATTCATCGAATGCGTGCTGCAAGTCGAGTAGAGTCAAAAGTGTGAATGGATACTGGTTGGTATTATGCCCAAAGTGTGGATGAAAAAAGTATTAATGTGGGTTTACATATGAAAAGTAGTTGTTAATTTGGTTAGGTCCCCCGATGAATTTTACATACAAACGTGCAGTGATTTAGATGTAGTAACCGTATGTAATGTTAGATATTTTTGAAATTCCCAAATCCATGTACCTAGAACCTTATGGAATTAAATTGTATAACAAAAATTAAATTTAGGTGAGTTACAGTAGTTAGTAAACCAATTTTCTTTATCAATGTTTTAGGGTACACTGCTGTAGATTCAGAAGTTCAAAAATATAAGCTTCCTTTTGTGCTAATACTTTTTAGCAGTGAATAGTATAAATGTAAGAAAATAATGGATAATACTAATTTTTGAGAAAGGTTACATAGTGTGTAAGAACAAAATAGTTATGCTATTACATATGGCAGCAGCAGACCCCCTAGCTCTTGCAATAGATGTTCTTACCCTCCAGTAGACTGTGCGAATGTATGTAGTATCCCATATCATAATCATAGTCCTTTCATGTGCCCTGTTGTTAGACGTCACTAATAATATGGCTTGCCTTGGTATGTATGGATGTATGTCGGTGCATAAAAGCATATAGAAAAGATACATTTTGCACCTTCCTGGTGTTGGTTCACTTCTGCCCCACCATACACTTCATGCCCTCCTCCCCTGGGTATCCCCCCGGTACGAAGCTCTCCCCTACACCCATCAGGACGACGACGACGAGGAGTCCAGCTTGTCCGAGGCTGATCTGAGTGACTACGTCTCTGGACTCAATGTCGGCCGCACTGCGCGAGGCTCCGGCCGCTTCTTGAGGTCTTCCCACACCCACAGCAACGTGCCGGCCGCGTACCACCCTCAACGGCCGCCCTCCGCCCACACATCTCACCTGCCACGGCCTCCAGGGCACCAGGTGGCGCGGTCGCAGTCGGCCTCCAGACTCACCATGGTACGCCCCCGCCCCCCGCCTGCTGTGCAGCCTCTCGCGCCCATTGACGCCCAAGCTAGTCATCCCACGCCCCTGCCCAAACTCCTCTTCCCCCTCCCCATCTTGCCCTTTGTATTTTTCCTCATTGGCCTGAAAGCCGCGACTGTATTATGGAAAGCTGTCTTGGAGTGCTTTAGTGGCATGAACACAAATTGTCTGAAACCGTTTTGACTTTGAATTTATCGTGATAGCACCAAGACAGTTCGCCATTCTGCAAGCTTCCTAGGAGGAAACTTGCGTTTACACTGCATGATTACGTCCCCAAGCACGCTGCACTTTCTTGGTTATGTGATAAACCACCAAGTGCCTGCTCGCTCGCTTATGCATGCTTCGTTTGCATATTGCATGTGCATGAGTATTGTGATTGATTAAAGTACTAATCTAGCTTAAGAATGTGGCATGTGGAATGGTATAACACTGACGAGATGTGATTATAGAATTGACAATTGTGGCCCATGACATTTTCGATTAAGAGCCGCTATTGTGTTGTGAAACGTATTATTTTTATGTAGATATTTGTGGATGTAATTGCAGAATGCATTTTTCGTTGATTTTAGATTCGTGAATGATTTCAGTGAACTTATCATGCATCATTTTATTCTAGAATTTCCTGCCCTGCAGAAACCATTAGCCTTTCATAGATCCTCAACGAATGTGATAATGATACCAAAATATGTTGTCCAAAGATGAAAATGTGAATTTAAAGAGTGATTTGTGATCCGTGGAATGTTTTTGTTTTGATATTTGTAATGTGCGATTTATTTGTTTTTAATGTAAGATTTCGTAACGCGACCAGTTATTTTCCGCTGGTAATAAGCAACCAAAAATTGGAATAGTTTGAATAAGCATTTACACTCCTGTACGACTGCCTTGACAAAACACTGTCATAACACCAAAATTTTCTTTGAAGATGTACTCTTCAAGATCACTTGGGGAATAGAACGCCAGATAGAGGAAATTCCCCCCCCCCCCCCCCCCCATCCTCTCATCCGTTCCTCTTTCCTCAATTTTTCCCAAATGCCCTCCACAACCCTTTCACAAATAGCCCATGTGTCCAGCGTCTCATGATACCCCCACTCCCCCCTCCCCCCCCCTTGCCTTGTCGTGCATCCCCCGTGACTTGTCCAGCTGTAGTAGCCATTCCCCCAGCACCCTCCCAGTCTTCCCCGTTTCTCTCAGCAACTCCCTGCACCTGTCTGTAGGTTGCGTGTGGTCCTCTTGCCAAGTGTCTGCAACATGGTTCTTATGCATCTTCTCTTGGAAATGATATATACCATGAGGATTGCGCTGACGTGAATATTGCCTGAGAAGTGTTCCTCATTTTGAGTGTTCAAGTGTATAATAATGCAGATTTTTTGTTTTATTCAGTGTTTTATCGTCTAATTATTTGTATTCTGATTTCAAAATTGATATTTTTAGTTACAGACGCGTAACCCCCCCCCCCCCCCTTCTCTCTCTCTCTCTCTCTCTCTCTCTCTCTCTCTCTCTCTCTCTCTCTCTCTCTCTCTCTCTCTCTCTCTCTCTCTCTCTCTCTCTCTCTCTCTCTCTCTCTCCTCCCTCTTCTCCCTCTCTCCCTCCCCCTCCCTCTCCCTCCCACACTCCCCCCTTCCCTACCTACCAACCTACCCACCCACCCACCCATCCCTTCCCTTCCCTTCCCTCCCCTCTATCTACTCATCTCCATCTATCCGTCCTCCAACTCTCCCACTCCCAGAACTACCTGATCGCTTGCTCTCTCTCCCCTCTTCTCTGCTTCTGCTTCTCCCTCTTCCCCTACCACCCCTCTCTTAATTTCCCTTCTGCTTTTCTCCCGTTCTCTCTCTCCTTTCCTTCCAGTTCCTGTTCTTTCCCCTCTATCTACTCTTTCTATGGTTGTTTTCAGTATCTCGCAGGTGTTCAGATAGAAAACAAAACCAGTTAACCCAAAATTGATCAATACAATGAGTGTTTCCAAAGCCTTCATGTATAAATATTGCTTTGAAGTATCGTTTTACCCTTAAAGGTTCTCCAATAATTTCTTCGGCAGCGCTCTCAGTAAAACGATCTTTTGTGTAAGTTGTTATTAGAGTTTTTATTTTTCTTATCAAAGTTGCTGTTTTACTTTCCCTCGATCGATTACGGTATTAATGTTGGTTTATAACAGGATTGGAACGGTAATGCAAATGGTTTAGTGTTGTATTTGATAGTGTATATTATTATTGTTAATATTATGGTTGTTATTAATGAATTGTTATCATTATTGTTTTTATCGTTATTGTTATTCTTATTACTATTACTGTTATTGCTATTGTTATTATTTGTAGTATTGTTGCTATTATTATTATTATTATTATTGTTATTATTATTATTATTATTATTATTATTATTACTTTTATTGGGATTTTATTGATTATTATTGTCACAATTTTATTTTCATTATTATTTATTTTTGATCTTTGAATAATAATTGATGATCATTATTATTGTTGTTATTGTTTTTATCATCATCATCAATATTATTATTAATTTATTGTTTGTATTATTATTTTTATTAATATTATTACATTAGCATCTTAATGTTGTTTTCAGTTTCATTATGACTAGTGGAGTTGTTCATTATTGCTATTAGTGTTATTCGTTATTGTTTCGTATTTTTTATTTCACATGTATATTTATACTATTTTTATTACTGTTTATATTACATTTCGTTTTAACTAACAATAGTTATTCATTTTTTATTTCTTTACTAATATCCTCAGCATTATGATTATTACAATTTTTGTTCATTTCTTGATATTTATATAACCATAGTCATTATTAACCTAATTGTTATTGATTTACCTTAGATTTTAGCCTCTGAATTTCGTAATAATTCTATTGCGTCGTCATTATTATTTAGCACTTATTATTGCTGCTCTATGATTATTTCCAGTATGGTCACTGGTTATCGTGTTTCAGGGCTGTTTATAATTCGAAACAGCTGTAGCAATCATCATAATTGTGCGTCATTTAAGTCCCATTCCATTCCGCTGCACATTTCGACCCGGCCATAACCTGACTTCCAGCCTTGTCGGCCAGGGACGATTTTATAGCTTGTTAATGCCCCCGTCAGCGACACTGAATGTTGGGGTTTGGTGTTTAATATCACCAGCGTAGAACATGGTCCTCGGGCGACGGTGCATAACACGTGTTAAGTGTGTGTTGTGTGGTGTTTGTGAGGCCAGTGTTGTTGGGTCTCCATTTCTCCATTTTCTTCTTTGATATGAAAACGTGCTCTGTAGATTTTAAGTGGATCCTTTAACATTCCCTCTCCCCCTTCCTCCCCACCACGCGTGCCCCCCCAAGGACGATGATGATGATGATCTTGATGATGATGATGAAGCTGTAAGTAATTGGCCATATTGTAACTATACGTGTTTTCGTCCTTTGCCATCCCCAAAGTATCGTGAGCGTAATTCTTTTTTTATATCATATTTACACTTTATTTCGTCCCAGTCTCGAATGTTTCTTTATTTCATTGGTCATCTGTATTTATTTTCTTTTGAATAGAGATACACGTTGTATTGAATGTATTTTTTTATATTATTTACTTTACTTTCACGGCCTCTGGATGTGAATTTAGTTGCAAATTTGATATCCATAGCAGTCCTTGAGATGTTATTTGATTAGAGAGAACCACCGTCTCTGTATTGTTTGCGTTCGTTCGTGTCTTATTTTTTTTCTGTCAAGCTTATGAAGCATCAGAAGCAGAAAGGAGATATACGTTTTTTTTTCTCCTTTCAATTTTGTTTCCCTCTTCATTTTTGTCCCGGGCATGCGTTCTTGTCATTGCTTCAAGCCAGACTTTTTTGTGTAGTAGCAACTAAGTACTAGCACGGCGTTTGCTGATTCTGAATTTAGCATATGTGACTGACAGTTCATTGATAGTTACTCTTACATATAATGTGTGTCTATCTATGTTTGCGTGTGCATGTGCGTGTGCGAGCGATTGAGTGTGAATAAGTTTGTATGAGAGAGAGTGAGTGAGTGAGTGTGTGTGAGTGTGTGTGTGAGTGTGAGTGTGAGTGTGTGTGTGTGTGTGTGAGTGTGTGTGTGAGTGAGTGTGTGTGTGAGTGAGTGTGTGTGTGAGTGAGTGTGTGTGTGAGTGAGTGTGTGTGTGTGTGAGTGTGTGTGTGTGTGTGTGTGTGTGTGTGTGTGTGTGTGTGTGTGTGTGTGTGAGTGAGTGAGTGAGTGAGTGAGTGTGAGTGAGTGAGTGAGTGAGTGAGTGTGTGTGTGTGTGTGTGTGTGTGTGTGTGTGTGTGTGTGTGTATCATAGACCATTTTCGGTGTCTTGTTCGAGCTTCTGTTCACAACGAGCACAGCTCTTGCTTTATACCATACCCACTGTGATTATTATTAGTGAAACATGTCTAGTTCCTTTGTGTTAGATTCCATATTTGAAAGAAGCAGGTGGCAGTCACAAAGCACACAGGGCAGGTTGCTCGAAATATTCATCAATTTCCAGGCTTTTCAACGTGCAGGAAAAAGGAAAGGAGAAAATATTTGGTGATGGGTTTATAACAACGTTAGGTAAATTCCTTGAGGAAGGGGAAAGCGATATTAAGGAATAGTAGTTTTTAAGATAAAGCGAGTCGGTTCTTAAGGAATTATCGAGAGCATTGTACCTTGTTATTAGGCTTTTGAATAGGCAAGATCCTCGAGATGGCGTGTTCGTGGCATAATCTTAGTCATTTTGGTCATTTTACGTTTCACGAGCTTATTCAGTTTCTTGGTTTATCGTCGTTTTAGATTATGGTACTTCCAGGAACGGAAAGTGACAAGTTGATAATCGTGGCTCATACCTTGCCTTTTCTTTATTGGCTTTTAGACAAATTTATTGAATATGTTGCGTAAGTTAAGTATCGTGTGTTTAGTACAGCCGCGTGAAGTACTATGGTTAAATTGCCCATACATATTAAGGCAGTTTGTAATAAAAGGATGAGGATAAAAGCCAACAAGATGAAAATTGCTTGCTTATCCCCTTATCCCCAGGAATTGAGTAAGTTTGAACAATGATGCAATGGAGGCAAAATACTGTATAACGCTGCTAGTTTTGTAGTGATATTGATATTGCTCGTCGTGGCGACCGACATAGAGCCATTGTAACCGTGTCAAGGAGAGTAATTACAAGGAAAACAAGATACTCCATCCACTCCGGGTCATGAATAAGTTGCGCGTAATTAAGGCGATAGCATCAGTGGCGTGCGAGGTCACCCGGGCCGATCCGTCTTGTGCCTGCAGTCCTTCACGCGCTGGATCATGGACGGAGGAGGGTCGTTCGTCGAAGGAAAATCGATGGTGATCCTTCGTGCTTGGTCCCGTGCAGTTTTATCTTGTTGGCGACTCGGCGCAGGCAGCAAACTCGCAGGTGATTCCCGGCGCTGTGAAAAGAGCGGTGACGTCACACCAACCATCGATTAGCACGCAACATGTCCATAAAGGCGAAGATGGCTGAACTTACCCGATACATTAGGCTTTGCAACATTTTTTCCGCCAGCGTTTCCGTATCTTCACGTTAATTTAGTCCAGAACAAAAATGAGGCGGAAGAGAGTACGACAAACTTATACACACGAAAATGATTAACGAATGGCGTGGCTAATGAAGATGAATACAACTTTTCGTCATTTTAACCACAAATGAATTAGAATGATTGTGCACTTTTATTAGACGTTCACTTGTCGGATTGCGTAACGTCTTGCTATGCAGTGCCAGCGAGTCTAATTTTTGGTAGCGCATGCGACTTGAAACCGAATGCCATTACGAATAATGAATAATAAAAAACTCGGAGTACAAACTATTGACCCTTCCTGTACATGCGGGGTCATTGCACCCGCCTCATGGTATGGACGAGGCCTGTGCGGAAAGTTGACATTGCAACTAACTCACGGCCGGGTATTCCCTTGCCTTCGACGCGAGTCTTGACCTTTTGCAAACCTCGCGGTCTTCGTGTTGTCCCAAGCTTTTACTCGTAATGAAGGAAGATCCGGTGTGAGCGAGTGCGCACGTGGGGACAGCCCCCTCTCCTCCTCCCCCTCCTCCTCCACCTGGCCCAGTATAAAGGGTGGTGGCATTGATTACAAGGCCAAGCCGATTCGCGTCTTCCTTGAGTTAGTGACCGAGGCGGCGGTGGCACCTCGCGCGTTTCGCCTCTGCCGCCAGTGTCGCGTCGAGGAGGTGGCCGGAAGGGGGACTCGACGCTCGCTCTCGACCTGGACGCCTTCCGAGGTCATTGCCCGGGGCTCGCGGTGTGCAGTGATGGATCTGGTGATGTTCTGATGTCAAATGTTTTATTGAAAAAAAAATATATATATATATATATAAAAGAGAAGTCCTTGCCAGTCTGTTTTTCCCACAATGGGAGAGGAGTGTAATAATGGCTTCCATGTATTTCTATTTAGTGACTTTGTTGTATTCATAGTGTAAACATTGAAGGGAAAGATGTTGAAGTAGTGCATAGTCCCTTGTGTTAATGCCACTTGCTTCTGAAAATGGTATTTATAATGGCATTCCACTATTGCTGTTTATGTTGAATTTATTGCTAATATTACTTTGTACTATATATTTTACTGAAGTTATACAGGGAAACCGTGCCTAAAATATAATGATTAACAGGTTAATTTTCTGTACCATATATGTGTGCAATTTTATGTATGTATGTGTGTGTATGTATATTATATATGTTTATATATTATATATGTTTATATATTATAAATGTTTATATATTATATATGTTTATATATTATATATGTTTATATATTATATATGTTTATATATTATATATGTATTATATATGTTTTTATATATATATATATATATATATATATATATATATATATATATATATATATATATATATATATATATATATACACACACACATACATACATACACACACACACACACATATAGATATATATACATACACACATGTATATATATACATACACACATGTATATATACATACACACATATATATATATATACATGTGTGTATGTATATATATCTATATGTATGTGTGTGTGTATATATATATATATATATATATATATATATATATATATATATATATATATATATATATATATATATATAGATACGTATGCATATATATATATATATATATATATATATATATATATATATATATATATATATATATATATATATATATATATATGCATACGTATCTATATATATATATATATATATATATATATATGCATACGTATCTTATATATATATATATATATATATATATATATATATATATATATATATATATATATATATATATATATATATATATATATATATATATATATATATATATATATATACATACGTATCTGTATATATACATATGTATTTGTTTATGTACATATGTATTTATGTATAAACATGTGAGTGTGTATATATATACATATATGTGTGTGTGTGTGTGTGTGTGTGTGTGTGTATATATATATATATATATATATATATATATATATATATATATATATATATATATATATATATATATATATATATATATATATATATGTATATGTATATGTATGTAATATAGATATGTATGACATAAAATACATATATACATAATATATATAAATTAAATAGATACACTATATACAGATACAGATACACACGTGTGTGTGTGTGTGTGTGTGTGCATACATGTGTATATTTTTTGTATACATGTATATATATATATGATATGTATACATATATTATACATACATACGTACATACTGTGTGTGTGTGTGGTAAATAAATGAAAATTGAAGTTAAAGATAACCTAGGCAAAAGATATATTTGCTGTTTTATATTTTTAAATGAGGCAGAAAACTTAATGTATTAGATAATGAAAATAGTCTTTGCCATGATATTGATACTGTGTGTGTGTGTGTGTGTTTATTTTATTTATTATTTTTTATTATTAATTAATTTCAGAATGTTGATCTACAAGAATTGCAAAATCCAATCAGAATGAGTTGAGAGATTTGAATATGATCAAAATTAAAATTTCTCTCTGTATGTAAAGTTAAAAGTTATTATTAGGCATTTTAATGAGGAAATTAATGTATTTATGTACAGGTATATACATTTATATTTACACACACACACACACACACACACACACACACACACACACACACACACACACACACACACACACACACACACACACACACACACATACACACACACACACACACATACACACACACACACACACACATTTTGTAAACTTTTTATTATTTCATTCTTTTTATTTTTTTCTTTGCATAATATAAGCCCATGTATTTATGGATTAAGGTATTGTATTTGTTTTTTTATTAACTGCAGTAACACTAACTTTAGGTCTGTGGTATTTGCATGTTTAATTTCTTCAGGAAAAGGGATTTTATTTATTTATTTATTTATTTTTATTATTATTCATGTATAAGTGATATCTTCATAATTTCTTCAATATTCCCCACTAAGATTTGAAGGCAGGTGCAACTGTACCATTCTCAGAAAGTAGTTGTTATATGTTGTAAATAAAAGATGATGACTTATAAGAAACACCGAACTTTCTTTTTTATTCTTTTTATTACAACATCTGCATGGAGAATATATACTTTTTAAGTCCTGATTCAAGCCACTGACTGTTCTGATTGCTCCACAGTACTCACGGCAGTCACAGATCACACAGCCTACAGCAGCACCAGTCACAAGGAGTAAAGGTGTGTGATCATAATTGCATTTGTGTGCATCACTAAAATCTTTATTTAATTTCATTCCAGTTTTTGGAAGAATAGAATAGCTTTTAAAGTTTAGATATTGATAGATTTTATTTTTCCCCCCTCCCCTGTGTAATAGGATTATTGGAAAACGTTTTAAAGTGTGTTTGACATGTGAATATGGAAATAAATATCAAAATATAAGCTGATCTAGTTAGAAATAGAAATATTCCTATTTGAAGTTTGACATAGAGCCACTCACATTTGACAAAAATCCTCCTTACTTTACACCAACAGGAAAAGGTAAAAAGCTCAGAGTGTTGCTTTATTGTAAATGTCATGTATTGGTTAATTAGTAAGAAAACCTTGATTTAGTTCCTATGGTAAGCTAGCAGCATATGATTATGTAATATTTTGATAATTTTATTATTTTATTTTTACTTGTAAAGGCATATCATTTTAGAAATTGATACAGTGGTGTAGTACTATTAGGATTCAGAAGTGATATAGCAATATGTTAGTTAAGGAATGTGCTATTATAGACATTACTTTTCATAGTGAAAAGTAATGATGTAACAAAGTGGTTAGATTTTTTTTTTTTTTTGAGAAATTTATCCATGAAATATATTATATTCCGACAAGTATGAAAGGAAGGGGTCATGTTGTTAAAAGGAATATAAGATAACAAGAAACCCACATCTTTCTGTGGATAGAAAATATTGTTAATGGGTAATACATGTTTATACTACTGCCTAAGACAAAATGATAAATTCTTATGCTCTTTTATAGATTCCAACAGACCTCGACCTAGCTACCTAGTGAAACCACCTCAAAATGGAGAACTGCGATCAAATGCAGTGCAAAACAAGATTGGGCAAGCCCCTGCCCGATCGACAGAAAATATTTCAACCTCCACCGTGAGCAAAGCAGCTTCTGTGCCTGCATGTGAGTATTGCTTCTAGACAGTTGATCTACAGTTTTGCAAACACTATAAATCATGTTCACTGTTTAGGAATAGTAAAACATTCACAATTTTAGTATTCCAATCTAGACAATGAAACTGGCATGCCCTGATAAGTGTATGATTCCATTAAAGGGAGTGATAAAGAACATCAAATGATATATGTAACATTATTGGTGATAAACCAGAAGACTTATTGGAAAGTCCTTACCTTTCCCTTAATCGCCTGTTGTATGGAAAACCGTGATTTATTCCCAACTCTCACTAGATGATTAGCTTTAGATAGGATCCATAATGCAGATATCCTTTTCTCCTTGGTGGGCCATTCCCAATTATAGGGCGAGGCATAGCTGTTGCTGTGGGTACTATTGGTGAGTTATATGATGGTGTGATGTGTATATATGTATACTACCAGTGTTTTTGATTTTATACTTAGTGATGCAGCATTACAAAATATCTTGGAAATGCCATAGCCACTGGTTACAGAAGGTTTGACCAAAGTTTGAGCTTACTGACCTGTTTATAGTGCTGTAAACTGGCCTCTATTTTTCATGATGGAAGTTTCCTCCAGCAAATGTCTTGTGATGATTCTAATGAAGTATTCTTACATAGTTGTTTCTTTTTTTCTGTCCTAGAATCAATCATTTATGGCGTATTTTATTAGCTATCCAGAAGTGTTTTGTACCTAACTTACTACTATACATATTTTTCTTCATATTGTATTGTACTGTATCATGTGCTCTTTCTTCAGGTATGGTTACTCTTTATAAGTAATTATTTCTTTCATAATTATATTATACTTTTTGAATGTTCTTAAAGAAAACAAATAGACTAGATGATTTCAGGAAATGCCTATACGCTTCTTCCAAGAATGACCTTTATATACACACTGAGAACTCTGTTCATTTTATTACTGTATATAATAATTTGTAGTGAGTTTACTGTTGAAACTGTTGCATATCACTTTTGGTTTATTATGGTGGTAGACCGAGGAAAATTGGAAGTCCAGGACAATAATCTCAAATCATCAGGACAATAATCTCAAATCATGAATGATATCTTAGTAAAATGCAAATGGAAAGCTTGATGGGACCCAGCTTATTTGGTCAAATGTAGGAGAGTTGATCTGATCAGACATCATTTGTGTTTATTGTAGTAATGTTATTCAGGTGTCTGTATATATATATGTGCACACACACACACTCACACTCACACTCACACTCACACTCACACACACACACACACACACACACACACACACACACACACACACACACACACACACACACACACACACACACACACACACTCACACTCACACTCACACTCACACTCACACTCACTCACACTCACACTCACTCACACTCACACTCACACACTCTCACACTCTCACACTCTCACACTCTCACACTCTCACACACACACTCTCACACACACACTCTCACACACAGACACACACATACATATGTCATCAATGCATTGAAGTATATAGATTAGTGCTTTTCATGGTATTTATATATACATTTTGCATTAATACAAAATCTGCATTGCAGCACGAAGGCGTAGCAATGTGGTGAAAGAGGTTGACCGTATACAGAAGAAACGAGAGGAGCGCAGAAAACAACAAGCAGAGAAGAAAGAGGAGAAAGAAGCCCTAATGAACCTGGATCCGGGAAATCCTCAGTGGGAGTTTTTGAACATGATTCGAGAGTTTAGGTGTGTGTCTGGAAGTGTGTATTTGTATGGTGTATTCTTATGCTTGTACTCTTGTCTTTTGTAGGTTGATTATTCATATGATTTTATTGATATTGATGTGAATTGATATATACTTTTGAATCTTGTGATATGAAGTGAGAGTGAAGAACTGAGGTGTAGTTTCTCTAGGGAGGAAATGGTAAACTTAAGATTATATATACATTATTTTTTGTCCTTTGTCTTATAGGATAACCCAATATTTATGTACTTTTGCAGTCGGAGTTGTAAGTGCCCAGTATTATATCACTTGGTTAATGCTTTTGATATGTTTTCCCTTTTACCAGATCTCAGTTGGAATTCCGAACTTTGAAAGATGGAGATCCACTTGAAGAACATCAAATCACAGTTGCTGTAAGGAAAAGACCACTAAATAAGAAAGGTAGGATATTTATAGTATTTTTCGAGTATATTTGTCTGTGTACTACCTACATTGCTCCTAGTCATAATTAGCTGCAAAGTATTCCATCAAAGTTGGGTAGTAGTATTCACCTAACATCTGTCTGAATCGCTGACTTTGCAAATTTGTTTATTTGTTACTTGCAGTATGTATTTTTAGACCCAAAGACTTCAATTCTTGCCTTATATGCGATTATAAATCCATTCCTAAAACTCCTTTTTTTATTTATAGTTGAAGCTCAGTAACATCATGGATTTGAACATATTTGCACACTTAGGCCAGTCCTTTATTTACATATCTTGTGTATATTTTCAGAGAATGGCAGAAGAGAGATTGATGTAATTACCATTCCAAAGAGAAACACTTTATATGTTCATGAACCACGTACTAAAGTGGACCTCACAAAGTTCCTGGAGAATCAGAATTTTAGATTTGATTATGCCTTTGATGAAAGCTGCAACAATGAATTGGTTTACAAGTAAGTGTCAGACTTTTTATTGTCTTTAATATAGTTTAATATTTTTTATGGGGCACATGTATTTTTTCTGAACTCTAGTTACTTGATTGTCCCTTTAAAAGTCCCAAGTTCTCCCTTACAATAATACAATAAGATGGGTTCACACTTAATAGACTTATAACCTCCCACTTTGTGCTAGGAATAGTTGGTGATCAAACCGCATTTGGCACCATGGAGGCTTGAACTCCTTAACACCTGATCAGTACTCGGGCACCTTTGCCATTGAGTTGCAATGTGTCATTTTATCCATGTTGATTTTTTTTTTTTTTTTTTTTTTTTTTTTTTTTTTTCAGAATTCCTTTTTTGTGTATTTATTTATTTATTTATTTTCTAAGAAACTTAAAATAATGATTAAAAAATAAATAATTATTATTCTTGCAGATATACAGCAAGACCCCTAGTTCAGACAATATTTGAAGGAGGTATGGCAACATGCTTTGCCTATGGACAAACTGGCTCTGGCAAAACTCATACCATGGGTGGAGATTTCCAAGGCAAAAATCAAGATACTGCTAAGGGAGTGTATGCTATGGTGGCAAAGGATGTCTTTACCTATGTTAAAAGTCCAAAATTTAGAAACCTTAACTTACAGATCTCGGCCAGCTTCTTCGAGATCTATGGAGGCAAAGTAAGTACATTATAATTTTTAGTGTTACTTCAAGGGATTTAGAAATGCTTGATCTTAAGTCTGTTTATATCATTATAAGAAAGAATTGTTTTATACTTTCTTGTAAGGAAAATATTTTACTTACATAGAGACTTTTCAACAGGTTTTTGATTTGCTAAACGGCAAAGCAAAACTACGCGTATTGGAAGATGGAAAGAATGTTGTGCAAGTTGTAGGCCTACAAGAAAGAGTATGTGAAAGTGTTGATGATGTCCTGAAGCTCATCAGTTTAGGTTCCAATGTCCGGACATCTGGTCAGACTGCTGCCAACAACCAGTCCTCTCGGTCTCATGCTGTCTTCCAGGTACTTTTCTTAAATGTGGTTAAGAATTGGTTTGAATAAAAAGAAATTCATAACTTGGACTATTGACAAATAGATTTTGATAGGCTAAGACTAATAAAACTTTACTTACCCCCAGATTATCTTGAGAAATTTGGATAAGATTGAGAAGCAGGGTGACAAAGCATACAAACTTCACGGAAAGTTTTCTCTTATTGATCTGGCTGGTAACGAGAGGGGAGCTGACACATCCAGTGCCAATAGACAAACAAGTAAGTGAATATATTTTATAAGTTGATATCACAAACTTTGGGTTTAGTTTGTCTTGCTAACTTTGGTTTTAGTCCTATAATATATCAGTCATGTATTACAATATATACTGATACATTATATTGCAATCTCTTACATTATGATTTATAGGTACTAATTGTAATTATATTGTTTACCATGTTTTTCTTTCAATTTTAGTTTGTATATATTCATGTATTCATGATCTATTACAGGAATGGAGGGTGCCGAAATCAACAAATCTCTATTGGCTTTGAAAGAGTGTATTCGGGCACTTGGCCGCAAGGGGGCTCATTTGCCCTTCCGCGCTTCAAAGCTTACACAAGTTTTACGTGATTCTTTTATTGGTGACAAAAGTAAGACATGCATGATTGCTATGATCTCTCCAGGGATGAGCTGCTGTGAACATACACTGAATACCCTCAGGTTAGTTTGGAAGATAGTTGCTTAGTGCTATTTTCTTAATGGAAAATACTGTCTCCTCATGGTAATAAGAAAATTAATGCAAGAACTGTATTTTCAAGGATTTCTTTAAGGATATATTAAAGATGATATGGAAGTATATAGATTAGATATATTTAAGCAAGCACTATATAAGTTCAATAGGTAATAAGACCTCTTTTTATTCAGATATGCTGATCGAGTTAAGGAGTTGGGTGTGTCTGATGTATCAGAAGAGAAAAGTTCCCCAACGGAAAAGGAACCAGATGAAAATGGCACAAATGATGAGGATTATTCACGTCTCACTTCATACAATGTAAGTTTGCTTGGAGGTTTGAAGTTTATCTATTTCTGAAATCTGAATTTCTATGTGAAGCAAAGAATTAAATGTATGGAGGAACTTTACATGGGAAATGTTTAAAGTATTAATTTTTCTCTAATTCTGATAATGATATTTGACAAACCAGGAGAATGAGATGAGTGCAGACCAGCAGGCATTCCAAGTAGCCATGAGTGCTCTGCAAGAAGCAGAAGAGGAGGTGGTGGACCTTCATGGCCAGTACTTTGCTCACAGAGACAAGATGGACAAGATGCTCATTCCTCTTTACCAGATGACCAATGAGGTTGATTATGATGTAGATGGTAAGTAATACCCCCCCTCCCTCCCCTCCTTTAATTTGAGTATCTTAGAAGATAGTTTACACAGTAAAAACAGTGATATAGTGTAACACTACCCACTTTTCATTGCAGCATATGCACAGCAGTTAGAAGATGTTGTATTGGAGAATATGGAGTGGTGGACACAATTAAGAGATCGTGTGATAAAACTTAGGCATCAGCTGGAGGAAGAAGAGAAGTTATCACGTCGGCAGCATGTGTAAACTTTATCTGCTTTTAAATCCATCCACTCCCTTGTGGGGACTGTTTGATATGTTATGCAGTCCTGTGGCAATGAATCTTCACCAGTGACTTTGCACAGTAATAATGCATGGCATTTGGACTGAAGTATTGTTTCCTCTATAGCATTATATGTTAGTCACAAGGGTACTAAACACTCATCATTATAAATAAGGGTTAAAAGTTGTACATGAAGCTGTTGTCCTCCACCCTAAGCCAAAACATGTACTGTAAGTGAACCAAAATCTTAAAGGACCCCATCACCCCTTTTAGACTTTGAACATTAGGGCCTGTACTCAATGCCTCACTATTGATCATGTGCACAGAAGCTGTATTTGTAACTACTTTTATCAATACTCCTTTGTAGCCTTAAATTGAACTATAATGCAATCAAATATCTATCTGTAACTTGTGTTAATTATTGTTTTTAAAATATTTTTAAGTTTTACCTGGAAAACTAAGGCAATTTTTAAAAGGAATGAGTGAATAATATTTGGAACATGGTTGTGCTTGTTACTCAGATGAATGCATTGGATGCATAAGTAATGGTAAAAGACATTACTTGTTCATTTAGGTATATTTCGAGAGCCATCCCTCACACTTGCTCAAGCTTCAAGGTCATTTTGCAACATCAAGGTCTACCTTTTGTATCTCCTTTACCTTGTACTAATTGTTAGTCACTTGTCACTAAAAAATAAGTTGCAGTCTAAGTGAGGATTAGTTATGTATTTTTAGGATTGAAGTGATTTCTTATTTTATGTTTGCTGCAGTTTTATCCTTTTTTTGTGACATTAAATTTTAGATGTCACCGGTTAGACAATCAAAATTAGACACCCCTTTGTCATTTAGTTTAGCATTTTCTTTTGAGAGTTACATATCCACGACCATCTGGTAATTTTATAAGGGTATTATCAAATGCCAAAAGCCAATGGATTTAGAAAGGTTGCAGTGTGACCCGCAAAGACAGTGAGTTCACATTCTTAAAGAAAAAGGTTATTATATGTTTGAAATGCATTAATGTTTTCTGATTGTTGACTAGATCAAACTTAGGCATATACCATGTTTTTTTTTTTTTTTTCCATGGGTCAACTGTGGTTAGTCATATGTTCCATAAAATTCTTTTGAAAGATTCACACACTAGTCATAACTACCATGATTATACTGAAAATAAATTTTGGTATTATTTACATAAGCTTTCTAAACCAAGGGATAACATATTTTTGTTTGAGTTAATTCTAAAAAAGAAACCAAAGACTTAATTCAATAGTTTGGAAAATCTTTAGTGGCCATTGGTACTGTGCGCTAATATTTCTTCTATGAATATTTGTTTAGCTCACAGACAGATAAATTATCCACAGTTAAGTGAACTGTAAGGCTTAGTGTGGCTAATTGACTGTAAAATAAGCTTCAATATACTGTGCAAGTGTTTATGGTTTACAGCGTTTGTTATAATAACTTGATGCTTGTTCATAACTAGGCATACAATGTGGTACTAGCCCAATTCACCTTAAGGTTAAGTAGAATTATATTGTGATATTTATTATATGGTAAGAATATGCTGAAGATATGTAATGCTAGGATGTCATGCTGAATTGGGCTCTTGTTATTCTCTGTTTATTTATTGACAAAACCAGTTATACTAAAACAAGTTCATTAGTAGAACTTCGGAGTTTGAATCAAGGTTTTTTTGTATGATTTTTTTAAGGGAGGAACAGACCAATTAGCATAGACAATTGTGAATGATTTTCCTTTGTTTCAGTCATGAAGTAAGGAAAAATTCATCTCAACACTACATGTACATCAGTCATATTCTCATTTGATTTCCCATCCCCATTTCTTACAATTCATAAAGCAGACTACACTTAGAAATACTCAAGAGAGACTTGTATATGGTAACAGGAAAGTTGGAAACCTAGTGTTTTTTTCCAGTCCAGTCATAGGTGATATGTGAAGGAATATTTTATCCAAGGCATCAGATCAAAATCCTCTTTGCTGTCCATAACATTTTTTTTGTTTTTTGTTTGTTTTTATTGAATTTTAAAGCTTAGGAAGAACTTTAGTAAAAAGAAACTGTGGCTAGTGTCCAAAACAACATTCCATATCCTCTTGAAAGGCCAATATATGTAGTGGATTGGTAAGAGGTTACTGTTGGAAATGTTACATCTTTTCACAATGTAAACATATTTATATTTCTTGTGATTACTGCTATTCTTTCAAGACTGCAAAATGTCTAGTATCAATGAAATGCCTAGAAGAAATAACTGATGCTTATCATAACAGGGAAAGGGAGTGTACTGTAAAGTGAGAGGTGTTCTGTAGGGAGATTCAATTGGTCATATTGTTAATCTTCAAATAATGCTCTGTATCAGAGCTCCTTTGATGCAGTATAGTCAGTGCAGAAAGGCAGCAAGCCGTGTCCATGAATTGCTTCTCTGATGTATGAGTTGTGTGTTCACTAACAGCTTCACTCAGTGTTTCAAATTTCAGTGTTAAATGAACTGCCTAAAGTGAACTAATGTTCCCAGTAATCCACAATGGTAACGCTGAATGTACCCAGTCCACAGTTTTGTATATAAGTAGGCTGTAAAAAGATTAATACACCCAATAATAACTCCCTCTGAAAAAAAAAATGTATAGGGAACTTCAAACATTTCAGCAAATTCATAATGCTCATCTTGTCAGATTTTTTTTTTTTAATTTATTTTTTATTAATATTTTTAGCATCTTGTATCTCCTGTCCCCTCACTTGTTTTAATCTGTAATCTGTTCTTCAAACAAGATTGTCAACACAATCCTTTACTTCTCAGATTAAATTGTGACATTATTGCTGTAGTATCAGCACATGGATGTAGAAAACAATATATCTTTCACTGTTGAAGAAGACTTACATCTGCTGTTTGTCACATAATCATGCCTGCTTGTTGGTGCTTTGAAGTGGTGGCAGGTCAAGTTTTGTGCTCTGAGCTCATGGTTATTGTATTTCGTATGTTAAAAAGTAATTCATAGCTAACTCACTCTAATTATTGTAATGGTTTGTGTTGAGAATATGAAGAAAAATATTGCTGCTTCTCAATATGTATCTTTTAATTTGAATTTTATTAGCACTATTTTTCATACAATTTTTAGGAATTTAAACTGAAAATGTTTTTATTTTTCTTGTTTTTGTTTTAAATGCCTTACTGTATATGGAAGAAAATAAATGTAGATAACAGCATAGTAACAAGAAATGGTAAATGTCAGTGCTGCAGTTTATGAAGTTCTCTTTTTCACACATCAATAAAAGCACAAAGGAAACCTTTTAGAAGTATTTTGATGTCCCTTTATGGCTTATTCATCCTTATCCACAAAAAAATAAAGAAAAACATTTTGGCAGCAGGAAAAATGCATTTACTTTGCATACATTCTGTGGAATGTATATTGAAATAAATGTTGATTTGTAAATATTTTATGCAGTTTTGTTGTCAACCATATGTCAAAAGCACAGATACTTGTACATTTAATAAAAAATATATATGAAACTCATCAATATGCTCTATACAATTAAATCAGTATCTTTAGATTAAACTGAGAAACTAAAAGTGAAGTAGAAAAAGATGAGTTTTTTTATGAATGGAGAATGACTAGTTATCTATGGCCTGCACTTCCAACCTTTAGGAATTAATGCATTGATTCAGGGATTTAGAATATTTTCAGTGATTTTATGACCTAAAGCCGTGATATAAGCCAAACCTGCTTTGGCAATATTAAACACCTGGGATTCCTATTCACAAATGGAAATTATTAATTGAAATGAATGAATGAATACCAGAATGTCACTTCCTCAATATTAGCTCATTTTCAGTTAGTGATACATTTGAAGTTGATCTACAGAAGGTGATTTTCTTTAGCAAAGTTTTTGAGATAATGACAGATTTCCCTCCTGTTATTTCCCTGTGCAGTAGATAGTCCTGAGTAAAGTAAGATCACAAACTCTTTCAATAGCCAGAGTTAAAAAGTATATTCATTTGGGAGATTTTCCTTAGTATATACAATTTTAAGGGTAGGGGGTGGTAGATCTTTGAAAGTAGTCATTTTAAAGCCCGCAGTCTAAATTTTGGGAATGGAATCCCACATTATAGTAAAGTTGTTCAAGTTGTGAAAATCGATTAAGTCCCTACGCCTGGATTTCCTAGTTCACATGGCAACTAAAATACTGGAATGATACATTTTAACAATTCTTTCTTATTATTACCATGAAAAATATCATTAATTCGTAAATGATTTTATTATCTATGAAAAGCTATTTATATATAAGACAAAGATTTTCAGTATGCTTTTTCATAATTTTGTCATTACACTTTGTGTCATTCATGTGTGTTCCACCACTCTCCAAGATTTGAAAATGTTTAAAATGTGTAGTAATTGGAATGATATATTTATATTTTAGTTTACTTCACAAGAATAATTTTTTGGAGGATGATTGCCACACATGGTAATTTTCATCACTAGTGGCCTTAAAATTCATACTATTAGTAGGAGCATCCATCTGAAAAAGATAAATACAAGTATCCAGCAATAATGATTTAAAATATTTACACAATATGCACTGTGCTAGTTTTCTAGTGAAAAAAAAATCTTACTGAAATATTTGTAAATCAGAGTGACTATTTGCTATGTATGTGAAGAAAAATGGTCACCAGAAAAGGGATTTTGATATCTAGTCAACATATTTTTTGTATCTGTGAATTAAAACTTCTATTTCTTTCACACTTCTTATCTTTTAAGAAATTCCCAATTATCATGGATAGAATGTTGCTCAGACTACAATCAGTAGATTCTGAATTAAGTTTCCAGAAATGAAAGACAATCAAAGTGTATTTTGGGCCATATTCAAAGGCAACAATAATTATTCAAAATGAAATTGGATATCTAAGTGCATGTGGTATATCCAGTTCGTTTTTTTTTCTGGTTTAATGCTGCCATACCATGTATGCATGTATATATATGTATATATGTATAGATAGATATAGATAGATAGACAGATCTATAGATCTATATATCTATATCTATATATATTTATATATAGATAAGATATATATATAGCTCTATCTATCTATCTATCAATATATATAGATATAGATATATAATGTACAATTGGTCCCTAAGGTTGGTAAGGAATAGGCCCTATCCACATGATGAGCAATACCTACACAGCCAAAACTAACCCAGATCATGGTCAATTGAGAGCACTGACAATGTCACAAGTGAGAAAACCACAGGCTGGTAACAAGTAGTGCTATGAGATTCAGCAGTGAATCCTGGGCACCTAGATGTGTCTGCTAAAGGGTACCCTGTTTTGTGTCCATAGACAGCCAGTACTTGAGGTTAGGATTTGATTAAGAACATTTTACCTCTACAAGGGGTATGGCTATTTTATTGGTTCTCTCCCCCAATCCCTTGCTTGTTATCATGGGATGAAGACTGAGGCCCAATGAAGGGATCACCCCTACCTTGGACCTCAGTCCTCACCTCACCTATTTTTCCATGAGTTTTTCTTCTCTCCTTTTCCATCTGTTCTTCATCCCCTTCTGTCCTCATTGTGAACTCATTTTTACCCTTTTTGCCAGCATACTTCATTGTAATGCTATGTGACCTTTGGTGTTTGGCACATTTATTGAACCATTCTGGAAATCCACAAACAAAGCCTTATGAACCAAAAAACTTCCTTACCGAGTGGCTGCACCCCAAAACCTCACCCTATCTCTTTATTTTGAATACACTGCTAATGAACTTAGATGTTGATGCGGCAGAAAATTTTCAGTAAATAAAAAAAGAAAAAAAATCAATGGTTTTCCTGTGATTTCTTTACCAGTGACTCCATCTCAACCAAGACCTACCCTGGATTGTAAATTGGTAATTGTGTTTACCAGTATGGGCATTACCTTTTATGTGGATTATGGCCTTAGATTCCTAAAACTCTTGGGGTATTCAAAATTCCTGTGTGTTGTGGATATTGCTAGGACCAGTATGCTAGCTTAGAGTTAGTGTATAATAGCTGCCTCTAAGATCATTTAACATGCTTAAATCATGAAGATAGTTATACAATACACAAGTAAAAGATGACTTGTAAAGCTAATAAAAATAAGTATATAGATTATTTAAAGTATGCATATATGTTTACAGAAATTATCAATATTTTATTACACTGGGGTATGGTCATGGCATTATTCTGAAAACCAACATTAACCATACAAGTGTTAAATCGCAAATCACTAAATTCACTTGAAAATATGCTCAGTGAAAGTGCAAACACAATTATTATTAGCTATGATGTTGAAGGAAGACTAGATTTTCAAACTATTTATTTTTCGTTATGATGTATACTTATTTTATATCTATACAGATTTTTACCTGTTTTTAATGTTATTTGTTGATAACTGTCTTTCTTTTTTCACAGCACTATGTATCTCATTGTTTTCAAACGTTTTGATATACATTTAACTCATATACATTTATTTTTATACTGAATCAGTATATTATTCATTATGTGTTATTTTTATATAATCTTTATTTTGTTTTATCCCTGAGAATCCCTCAGTGGGAACATGGCAGTATACCTACAGGACTTTGAATCTGTCCAACATGGGGACATGAATATTTTGAATGCAAGGCTATCCAGATGATATTTTTTTCATATCGAAACTTATAAATATATGGACAAGGAATGGCCTGGATTTAGGAGAGAAAAGGAAGAAAAAAAGTTTATTTGAAATTTTATTTCAAGTAGAAAACACTGCATTTAAATTAAATGCATCAAAATTGTTCTCAATTTCCAACACCATGTTGGAAAACATGAACATAAGCAGTAATTAATGTAAATGCCAACTTCTACATACAATGTAAAACATTGTATACAAACATAAAGAAGTAGAATTCGATTCAATATGAATTTCTATAACCATGTTTCATTTCAAGACTATAATATATAAAAGCTCTATTTATATAAAACTATATATTATTTTCTTACATGAACCTTTCTCTTTGAAGCAGTTACGCACAAAGCTTATTACAACAACGTAATACACATATTATAACTACATTAAAAAGAAGTAGCCAAAAAAAGAGAAGTTGCTTATTTTGACAACACTATTTCCTACTATAGGGGAATTACATGTAATATTCCAAGTATATGTGTATATACACTCAAATATAAAATATGAAAATTATCACTATACAGTTACAAAAACAAATAGAAAATGAAATAAAACTATTTAGTCATAAAAAAATTGTATCTTTTTTATAAATTAAAGATAAACAGATACTTGAACATTGACAAATTGTCATTCACATCTACAAAGGACAAACAAACCTATTACAAGAAAAATATAAATGCAATAGTACTATAAAACCAGTTGTGTTAAAATGCACAGTAACCTTTGAAGGAAGGAAAGTACCTCATTACCATTCCTATTTTGATTATTTTAACACATTACCTGTGTCTTGGCCCACACGATATTCCCTCATTGGGAGTTGATACACTGGTGGTGCAAAGATGAGTAAAAAAAAAGTATATATTTAATGTATATTTTTCCTCTTTATACATAGATTGGCTATGGTTTTGGCTTTCATACATTAACAAGGGACATGAATGAGTAGAAAAGTAAGCACTATAAAACATACAAGTTTTCTTCCTCATAGCTTCACTGGGTCTAGTGTGAGAGCATTGTGAAGGTTGCCTCGATAGAGGGGAGTCTTGGTTTTGTCATAACGCAGGTAACGTGTTAAAAGAACAGATCTATTTCCATTAAACATTATGCATTATGGTAGATAGTGCACTCATTAATAATGCATGGATATCCTATAAAACTCTTTCCATTATCTTTTCACAAACCTATTTTTGTGATTCAGTATAAAATATATATTGCTTATCTTTCAGAAATACCACTTTTACTTATTAGATCACTAGGAATTAATCTTTCACTGTAAAAAAATATAAATAGATAAATAAAATAAATAAATAACTAGAATTGAACAGCAAAGCATGTCAAACATTCAAGTTAAATGTTGAAAACCACTGATTTTGCTCTTTTTATAAAAATAAAACATTATTTTTGACTCAGCAGCTACAATTGTGTTTTGGAATATACTAAATTCTTTCAATTTTCATAATGCATATTGCAAATATTTCTGATAGTCTTAATATTCAACTGTCTTAGAATATCTTCTAAACACTTCAAAAGAACCAAGGTGTCCGTTAAAATAATTGTGCTTTATATTCTTAGTCCTTTCAAAATTTAAATGTACATGAATATTTTTGTTACCCTTTAAATCATATTTTTAAGGACGTCTGAAGGTGGTGTTTCCAAGCTGTCACTGTCGATGATGAATTCAAATGATGATGGAGGTGAAGGCGGCTCGTCTTTGCCAAGTGTTTCTGGCAGGAATCTGTTTAGGGGGAAAAATATTAGTGGAAATATAAGTTAATTTCTAAAACTCAAGCCAAGAAATAATGCATGACCAAATATGTACATTAATCAATTTTCAACATATGATATAACATATTTTTATATATACATATATATGTATATATACATAAATATGTATATATACATATATATGTATATATATACATATAAATGTGTGTGTGTGTGTGTGTGTGTGTGTGTGTGTGTGTGTGTGTGTGTGTGTGTGTGTGTGTACGTACTGTATATGTATATGTGCATATACCTCTATCTTATTTGTGCAATGTATTCTCTTACCTAAAAACAAAGATGAACAACAAAATGGATGACGCAATAAAGAATGAGAAGGATAACTCTCCAAACTGCACTTGCAGGAGAGGGAAAGTCAGACCAACGACAAGGTTACTGATCCAGTTGCTTGTACTTCCAATAGAAATTCCAACAGATCTTGGGCCAGATGGAAATAGCTCTGCAACAAAAGTTTCAATCAATTACACATATATATAGTTGCAAATCACCAACCAGATGCACACATATAAACACTTTAACAGTTGTAATGTATTGGTATTTGACTATTTCAGAGAACAAACACAGACTTTCATTGAAATCAGACCCTAAAAGGAGTCATTCCATTAAGTTAATAATGATCTTACCAGTTGCAATCATGAAAGGAATAGGTCCTAGACCCATGCCATAGAATAAGACATAGGCCATGAGAGCGCCTATGGCAACGAAAGAAGCAGAGCGGTATTCTGAGATCAGTTGCAGAGAAATCATTAGCCCAATTTGACAGATGATGCAGAGTACTATGGATGTCATCAAAAGCACTCTTCTTCTGCAATATCTGGGATAAAGAGAAAGTACACTTCATTAACTGGTATATCAATATCATTTTAATTCATCCACTGTCTTGCAAAACTCATGGCCACAGTTTTTTTTTGCAACAGAGAAATCAATCATTGTCCATCTTTTTTGCATTTTACTTCTAAATCATGTACTTGCTTCTAATCTATTCCTCTTTTCAACTTACTTGATTAAGGGTGCTGCAGCTAGAGCCATTATGCAGTTAATTACTCCAGCACCGATAGATGCACCTTGACTCTGCTGGATGTCTAGTCCAGCACTTCGGAAGATTAGAGTCGAGTAAAAGAATACCTGTTAGAAAAATAATTAACATAAATAATTAAAATTAATAATTAATAATACATTACAGTAAGCAATCATAAATGCAAAATAGTCCTAAAATAATCAATAATGGATTCTCTATACAATGAAATATAATCTTCTTTAGTAAGTTTATTTTTTACATACAGTATATATATTTCCATGGAATGAAGCAACCAGCATTCACCATCTTAATTTTGTTTTATTTTATTTTATTTAGCTAATAAAAATTCATATCTGTCTTAAAGTAATACAAGGCACTTACTGCATTGATGCCAGAAAATTGCTGGCCTGCATTGAAGATCATTGCAATTGCTAATGACATTCGATATTTAGGGTTCATGATCATCTGAGAAAAGGTCCATCCACTGCTTTCATCTTGTGCTTTGTTTTTCATACCAGCCATGACCTTAAGAGCAGTCTCCTCAGCCTCAATGAATTTATCGTCCTTTCCACACAGACGTCTTAGTTCTGGGAAACAAAAGTATGTTAATCTGACATATAAGAGTGGACTGTTTGTGTTGTCAGAACCAAACTTACAAAACCAGCAATTTAATATATACTGAATACTTTCATTCAAAAAACTTTATGTAATATGGCAATGAAGAAACAAATGATCTTCAGTTTCATCTTACCCCTTCGTCCTCTCACTTCATCCCGTGCGTTAATGTAACAATATGCTGGAGACTCTGGAAGTGCTGGATGAAGGAGAAGTGCCATAGCAACAAACACAGCATATGCAGCTAATAAGTAATTCCAATTATCAACTGTACCTGTAAAAGTTAAAGTGAGCTTTTTTAAAATCAAATGGAAAAGTACAATCTCTTAAGTACTGTCAAACATTTCATTACATGAACTTATGCAAAAATATGGATTATAGCTTTATTATATAAAGGTAATTTGTCAAAATAAGCTGAACTTTGGATGAACTTACCTAAGATACTATCCATGCCCATAATTTGTGACACAAGAACACCTATGCACATGCCCATTGGGAAAGTGACACCCATAACTCCCTTCCATGAAGCTGGGGCTACTTCTGACAGGTAGAGAGGAACCAGGCTCGTGGACAGTCCTGTGTAAATGATAAATGAGAATGTTCAGTCAAAATACATGGACTATGA